AATATGGGATGTAACTAAAAATATTTACATAAAATGAACGTACAAATTAATTTACAATTTATGCGTTCAAATCTGAGAACAAATGTTTATTCAAATCATAAAAAATTAACTAATGAAATTTATGTCACCTTAGCTACAAAAAAAATTTTTTTTAATTTTTACTGATAATCGCCTTTATTACAAACAAATACTTTACATATTGGAAACCAATTATTTTCCCTGTATTATTTAATGTATTATTTAGGAAGCCTAGGGTTTTCCAATAAATAATCAAATCATTAAAGAATATTACTTCTGTTCAACTTACAAATTAAGTAAACAGTGCAGGCACCAGATTGAATAACTACAAGAATTAGTTGAACCATGCACATTAAATTGAACCACTTCTATTCAGCTTGAACCATTGCAAAAGAGAACTGTTTGAACTTGTGGTATGTGGTTTAACTACTTCTCAAAATTAATTAAATCTGGTCCTTAATTGTTTATTTCAAATTTTCCTTCAATAAATTAAATTATAATTAAGCTCAGATGTATGTATGTGAGATTTGTTTTAAAAATCTCTCGTCCATTAAGTATCTAAAAATCTTAATATGTTTGGCTTGTCTGTCTGTTAGTTTATTCTTCCGAGAAAAATGTAGCCCTCGAATTAAAAAAAATGGCCTTTGCCATGGAAAGTTAAAATTATCACTAGAAGAAGCTGCGCATGGCCTTAGAATATAAATAATGGGATTTAAGTGCGCTTGGTGCACTAGTAACAATTTAAATTTTAGTTCTGTTGCTTTAAAGTCGCAATTTCATTATTGTTCTTCAATAAAAACTATTTTTATGTTTAAAAAATCTGGTCATCGTATAGACTCTAAACATTTTAATTGCAGTTTATATACTTCAATTGTAAAAGTTTTTATTGCCACCTCATCAATTGTTTTACAGAGAAGGTATCCCGTTTTTACATTTTTTGTTTAAAATTTGGTAAGGTGCGGCATTTTTCCCTGTTCCGTTAAGCATTTGAAACGGAAATGTAAAGGGGTTACATTAAAAAATGTTTCCGCCCACATTTTGAATTCTAGAACTCTCAATATTGGCAATAATAGTTCATGAATTCATATTTACCTAAGATTGGTAACAATAAAACTAGTCCATGCTAAAAAAATAGGATTTGAAAATTATTTAGTAAATATTTTGGATCATCTGCGAGTGCGACCCGGTGTCGCAAATTCCAGCTGACAGCTAGCTGGACAGTAGACATTACATTGACTCTTCAACCTTCTATACTGTTTAATCTTCTCAATTTGTTTTGACCTGTCCTTGGATTAGGCCAGAAATATCTTTTAAAAGCTTCCTTCCACTCCCTTCCAAAAGCTTAGACCATGGTGCCATGACTTCATACTTCTTTTGTTGAATATAAACTTATTAAAGATTCCTTTGATAATACGCTGGAAAGTATAAGAAACTTCCGAACGAAGCTAGCCCCATTTTTCAATAAAGGGTCCATCTACGGTCAATGCAAACTTCTACCTTACGTGATGTCTATGATGTTCAGCTTAATGTTCGTAGATTACCGTCAAATTAGGGACGACAATGTTTTAAACGTACACCCTTCACATTTAAAAATATATTTTATGCTAGTGGAAAAAATCTGCTTTTTCTTCAAATTTTCTAACGTCTGCTTGTAAACTATTTTTGACTGGGTTTGGTAAATGTAGCAAAATAAAATTCATTGACATAGAAAAATTAAACTTTTTATATTAAAATTCATGAAAAATACAAAGGAGATACAATAAATCATAATGTTATGAATTGAATGATAATATTTGTGTTTATAAACCCAAGTTTATTCTACAGAGAACAAGTTTGCTTTAAATGAATAACTGCTTTTAACCCAGGAAGTAGTGGCATGGTGCTCAAACAGAGAGAAAATTGGGATGTCTATTGCTTTTGTGATTTTAACATATTAAAATTTAAGTCAGTTTCTCTTAACAGACATATTGGATAAAAGTAACGGTTATGCCAATCCATACATAACGAGTTCATGATTTGTTCTAATAATCTTTTATTTTTTTCGCTAAAATTTCCTTGAGGGCATTTCAGTAATATCCTTTTCAAGGTTTAACATGTTTTGCATCTCTTTTGCCCGGTCAAAAACAAAGGAAATTATGAGAAACATTATACTTACTGGAAGAAATAATATTATGAGAAACATTATGAGAAATAATATTGCCAAACTTAATTCCAAAAATTAATCTGAAACCGAATTTCAAAAATTTGAGTCGTGGCTCAAATGTGGTTGGTTTCACTTAAAATTGTATTCAATTTTTCAAGATTTAAGCCGGCGCTCAATTGAAACCGGTTTTTGGGAGAGTTGAGACGCCGCGGCTTAAATTCGTTAAATTCTGACACTGCAGAAAAGAAAAAATAGCCAAAAAAAAAAACAATCTTCCTCTGTCAATCAATATATTAATTTTTAGATAGTGTAGTAATTTAATGAATTATTTCGGAACTGATGTAAGAATTCCACATAGATAGTACACAGACTTTTAAGCATATGATTATGTAGAAAAATCCAAAACTTGCAGGCGGCTTGATTTAACTTTTTCATTAATGGAGTTATTTATATATAAATTTAGCTTGTCTGTTTGTTTGTATCCAATAAACGTCAAAACGGCTGAACCGATCGGGCCCAACTTTTTATGGGACATCACGTGACCACAGGGAAGGTTTATGAATGATAAAAATTAAAAAATGTGTTTTAAAGGTTTTTTTATTTTGTAAAAAAAATTTAAATTGTTGAAAATCCGTTTTTTTAAATCCGCAAAATTTTTTTTCCTTTGTTTTAAAATGTAAACAAAAAGAACATGTTCACAATTTAAATAGAAGATGGGCGCGAAGCGCCTTGAATTTCTAGTTTACTAATGAAAGACGTAATTTAGCAATAGGATAACTATCCAATTTTCGGATGTTGGTCACGGCCCTTCCCGACGAATCTTTGGAGGGGGGTGCAGAGCAACCATGAGCCCCGCGAACTGACCTCCAGTGCCTTCCGATTCACAGAATGACCTCCTAGCAAATTAAAATAATCTCTGTGCCTCGTACGCTAAACTCCAAGCCTCTGCGACTCTTGTTCAAAGAGAATAGATTATAAATAGAGTGGAATTTACTCGAAAAAAGTGTAAAACAGCCATTTTGTTGTACTGCTTCTATACAGCGGGTGTACTTCACACATGTGTGCTATATATATCCTTTTGGGCCCTGGAACATCATTTTATAGAAAAGTTTTCTTGAAAATTATTTGATTTTCTCTAAACCAATTCTCTGATAGCCTGTCATGCATTCCCGAGTTCATTTCAGCAAAAGCTTCGTTAATAATTAATTTGATGTTTTTATTTAGTAAAAAACATATTTTTTAATTTGACGTAATCAAACAGTAAAAACCAATATTTTGGAAATACTCAAGATAACAAAATATTAAAATTGAGGATGAGGAAGTAGAATTAACTCATTAATTTCAATTTCATAACTAATCCTAGAATCCCCTTGCTAATTGTTTTGCTTTTTGGGACAGCGAGTATGTGTTCTGCATTGATTTACAAAAATCATCCAAATTTTTTAATAATATTGTCAAAATTGAAACCCTTATTACTTTTTGTTTTACAATGAGACAATGTTCACAATTAAAATATACGATACTAGGCTTTTAGGGCGCTTCGCACCCATCTTCTATTTCAACTTTTTATCTGTGAGCATCTTCTCTTTGTACAGTAAAAAAAAAATAATAAAAAGTTTGCCAATTTCATAATATTTTTTCGCGCATTTTCAAATTTTTACAAAAAATAAAAACTTTTAAACACAAATTTTTCAAATTTGATTATTCATAAACCTTCCCTGGGGTCACGTGAGGTCCCACACCAAATTTGGGCTCGATCGGTTCAGCCGTTTTGACGTTTATTGGATACAAACAAACAGACAGACACCAAGACAAGCTAAATTTATATATAGAAGAAAAAAGCCTCCCTACTTGAAATAGGAAAATTAATTTAAAACAAGATATTAATTGCAGCATACAAAAGAGTCTGAAGCAAAAAAGGCTAACAATTCTGTCGGTATTAATTTTACAAACGACGATTTTTACATTTTAATGTTTAATAAAATAAAATCAGATCAGACTTGTAGAAATGCCGGGATCTAGATTTAAAAAACCGTATGTAATTTTATAATTTGATGATAACGTGCTTATTATTGGTTACGATTATTATACACCATCAGATTGCAAAGATATAGGCATTTTAATTTTTGATTTTGTGGATTTTCTAGCAAATCTAGCCCCCCTTTAAATCTCATTACTGAATGAAGGAGTGGAGTCGTGGACAGACAGGAAGATAAATATATAGATATAGATATAGATATAGAGTTCACTTCATCAGACATTTAATAGCACTAATATTTGCTTTGAAATTTCGCGCAATTTACATCGTTAGCGATTGCATCCTCAAAATTCCTTTTCGCACAAAAATGCATAATTCTGCGCACAAATTTGCGAAATTGTGTTTGCTTCTGCGGAGCAGTAAAATAAATTCAGTTTTTTAGGATCATACAGTCCTGATCAGAAAGATTCGGAATTAATTTACAGATAATCAGTCTACTTTACAGTATAGTTTTACAAATATGATTGATGAACGATAATCACAAAATAATCATAGTTTTACCGTTTCCAAAATGTGGTCTGCCCTTTTTAAGCATTTAAAATTGCCAGATATATATATTTTAAGTCGCCAGATAAACTGTAAATTAATTCTGGTTCTTTCTGATTATGACTGTAAAAATTTTAAAGATACAGGTAGGTCACAGGTACTTGTAATAAATTAATTCCGTTATTATTCAAATTCAATTACAATTATTATCATCAACTTTAATTGAATAATGTTAAACAAGAACTTGAGGTACTGTGATTTATGAAAGTTTTTTGTTCATTTGGGCTTGGCCTATTCTGTTGAGAAGAGGCGACGTCATATTTTTATTTATTTAATAAATCATAGGAATATAAGAAAAAATTATAATTCATAATAAAAAATCACATTTGGTAAGTTTTTCATTCATTTGATGCATATTTATATGAGCACTGTAGATGGGAAAACGGTCTCACCAAAATTTATTTGCCTGTTCTAGAATTTCAACACCCTCATCTGCACAATATTCAGCTCAAAATTAAAACTCATTACGAAAAAAGCTAAGTGTTTAATTTATCTCGTGAAAATGGCTAAATTTTGCTCCCTGGAACAGAAATACTATACAACAGAAAACGGCACTCGTATAATGAAGATGCCATATTCATATTTTTTGTAAATTTTCAAAATATTATTTACACACACTAATCTTTGTACTTGTTCATTAGTCTTTCATTGTACATTTTAAGCGAATATATTATCTTTATGAGGTGGTTATTGGAAGATTATCCAAGGCAGATATTACGCACATTATATGTATTACTATGGAAATGCAATTTACTCTATTAAAGTATATAAAGTATTTCTATGCTGTTACGCTAGTGCCGATTGGTGTTGTAGAACTGTTCCAAGGTGTCTAATAAGACAATAAATATAGAACAAAATGGCTACCCGCTGCCCCGTCCCATTTACTCTTTTTGATGTTTGAAACTTTCCCAAAGGCCAATTGCCCTTGCAAATCAGTGCGTTCGATCTCATTATTTATTTTGATGCAAATCCAAATCCTGGATCCGCACTGAAAAAATTGATCCGGATCCGGATCCAGGTCATAAACGTTTTTTAAAAATTAACGAATAATTTTAACAAAAAAAATTTTAAATAATTTTCCTAAATTTTTTACACATATTTATACGCAAAAACAGAAAAAACATAGAGTAGAAAAAAAAACAAGATGGAAAATATCTCTTTTTTCAACAGTTCAAATCGAGTAAAAAGCCAACTTGTTGCGGATCCAACAGATTCCCAACCCCTGAAATTTTATAAAGGTATTTTGTTAGTTTTTACTTAACAATCCTGACATGGTCAGTGGTCACTGGTCAGTCGTGGGAAAAACTGCAAAACTTTACATTTAAAAAAAAATTATATGTTCAATAAATATTATTGAGTCTAAAAGTTTTCCCACCATTATGGTTGTGCCCTCCCCCCCTTAATGTTTCCCGAGGGGGACTTCACCCCTTCCCCCTTTTGAGCCGCATCTGGGTAGGGCCCAAGACCTAGTCTGTCTAGATTCCGAGCGCAATCTTGGCCCTTGGCCCGTCTGACAAAAAGTTTGTAAAATTCTTCATTTTATATAATACATACATACTTTATTCCCTTTATGAGGAAAATTTTATTTTGGAAGATGTTACATGGAATCAGAAGTGGCTTTGGGAAAGTACTTAACAACCTTGGTTTTACTCCGTACACCCAGAAAATTACGATTTACATCTTTTTAATAACTCAAAACCGAATGTTGAAAAGTTTGTCTGAATTCCTTGTTGTTTTCCTGAAGGCAGGTAAGGAGGAGTCAACTCACGATAAGCAATTATTAGTCTTCTATCCGATATATCCTGTCGAAGTACTGCATGCTCCCACTCATATCTAGATACAAATAATAGTAATACTTAAAAATTTGACTGCCTTACAATTTGAAAACCATGATTCATTATTAATTTTAACTCTATTACGGCTGAGGGGGGGGGGCTGGGACCGTCTCCTGACGTTTTTTGGAGATAACTCAAAAAGTATTGGTCTCAGGCTGTTCAAATCTATTGAATTTCCTAACTAACACATGCTCCTCACTTTAGGCTCAAAACGGGGCTTTGACGCAGTAACAAAAGTCATAATATGTTTGTCATAAATATGTTTTTCATAAATACATTTGTCATAATACGATTTTTATTATTTACAAAAGTCATAGATAACACAAGTCATAAATTCAATTTGTAATAAATACGTTTTTATAGTATACAAATCATACATTTCTCATAATTTATCCCATTTTAGTATGTTTAAGAATGTGGAAAATACGCAATTTTTTAATCAAATCTGCTAAACTATCTTTTCTCAGAAATTGCATGGAACAACAGGATTCTTACCTGAAAATCGACTGGAAATCTGGTATGTGACTCTCTCCCTGAACATGATCATGGGAATGATAGAAATGTGTCCCATCTTACTTAATTTTCTGTCCAATGTTGTTCATAGTATCTTTTATCATAGTATGATGAGATTCTGAACGGTGATATTTCTACCAACAATGCACTTGAGAATTTTAATTGAGTTTGGAACAACCAGCTTGGCACAAAGGCAAATGTTTGGAGAATATGTGAAAGGTTTGTTGAGGAGAAAGCTCTTACACGACAAAATCTTCTTGATACAGTTGCTGGACAGGATCAATTCACAAACAGTGGGAGAGATGAGATTCGCAAAGAGAAACATAACACGCTTACAGTTGTCAGCAATTATTATCTTGTACTCCAGGATGATTATCTCTAGCCAGTGAACTTGCAAGTTGGACAAATAGCCATGCAATCTTGTATTACAAATATAATGAAAACATATTTGAAAATATAATAGAAATAATATGAAAATATAATTATGTATGATTAGTATGCTATGAAAATCGTATTTATGATAAATGAAAGTTATGACTTTTGTAATAAATGACTTATGAAATTTATAAAAAATGTAATTTTTGACTTTTGTAATTATGACAAACGCATTATGAAAAACATGTTTATGACAAAAGTATTATGACTTTTGTTACTGCGCTTATGGCTTTTTATCTACTGCCTAGATCCTCAGGTATACTGCCTGAATGCATTATTTTACCGACTATATCTATATTTAGACCTACTTCCAGTCATTGGAATGTTGTCTTTTTATAGCTCTTTGGAAAGCCTTAAACAAAACAAAGCAGATTAAACAATTTTTGCGAAGAAATTTCAGTTTTCCTTGAATAAAAGTTTAGTCTTTGAAAACTTGGCAAATATTTATGCATGTTTGAATTCGTCATTGTAAGGGCTTTTCAAAAATGTATAATTTATCGTATCTCGCGCTCTTTTTGTTTTTGCACATTTTTTGCTTCATTACTTGAAATTGCAATTAGTATTTAAAACTCAATTTTATTTTATTTTAGAAATTATAATCATTAATTAGGCGTGCAGCCAAAAATTGTAAACTTTAAACCAAAACTGAAGGCAGGCCCCCCTCTACATCAAATGTGACATCTCCACCATCCCCTTTAGCAAATTTGCAAATTTTTTTAGCAGATTATTGAATTAGAGCCCAAGGGCTTTCCAAAAGTGTATCAATTGTTATAGATTTGAATAAGGAAATAAGGAAGGGGGCCCTGAGACCCCCCCCCCCCTAACTATTTTGGGTAACCCAGAAATCAGCCTCAATATGGTTACGGATTAGGCCATGATTCCAGGGGTGTATATTTTCTTAAAAAATAGTTTCCTTCTAAAAGTTCTGTATTTTTTTAAGTTTTATTCACTGAATTTGAGAAATGATTTTAGGAAAAATAAATAGATTTTGGTCAAAGAGTATGAAAAAGGATTGAAAGAACTTTCCTTTTAATGTTAAATTTGTAAATGATTTTTTATAATCATTTCCCCTTCTCCCGGGGTAAGGAATAAGTCTTAAAAATATGTACACCTGCAATATTCTTGGCAAACTTCATGTTTGAACAATAAACAACCTGGAATTTCCATACATAATCAGCAATGATCTTGGTGGAAGAGGGATCTTGACCATGAACTCCGACTGGTCTGTGTTTTTCACTTTATTTTCAGGGTCTTTCTTCTCATTGTTTTCTATGTATGTATGGGCTCCAGTCTTTTCTTGCTGATTGTAATTACGACTGAGGTAAATATATAATTATTACTCTGAACTCGAGAAAACATTTTAAGGTTGAAATTAATAGGTTCAGACTAACAGAAGAATTAGAAAACCAATCCTGTTGTAATTTTTCTCATCACGTTCAACGTCAAACCAAATGGGTCCAAATTTGTTAACAGTCAAAAATTTTTAAGGAACCACATTATCTCTTACTTTCTTGAATATTAATTAACTTGAATAGAATTTAAAAACATGTTTAATAATTATATTCTTGTATTTATATTTATCCCTGAAAGTGTATGGTTTATCGAAGAGCTTGCCAACAACTGGGTTATGTACAACAGACCCATTATGTATAGTCGCAGGATAGCTTTCAACATCCTGCAAGATTTCTGTCATGAGCGCTTTTTTAATTCTAGTAGAAAATAGTCTATTAACTACAAAGTACATAAACTACAAAAGTAAACATCCTTGGTTTAAGACGATTACCTTTAAATTGTATCTGTCATGATTCCCTGTGTAAGGTTTAAGTGCAAGATATGTACTGGATAATAGGTTGAGCTGAACAATCCTGTTTAAAGAAGGATCAAAAACTTATACATCAACTAGCAATAGCATTGTCAACATTTTTACATTTGACATGAGAATTTTAATGATAATTCATGAGATTCATAGTTTTCCAAATGATATTTAAGATAGGGAAATCGAAAGAAAACTAAAAACTTTAAAACATAAAAACTCCACTCCACATTGTCCATTTCTTAGAAAAAGTCTCATGACTTAGAGCCGATCTTTGATTCGACTAAAGACAGTTCTTTTTGCCTATTTTGCTGTTATTCCAGTTGACTTTTGACTAGCTTCAAGTCCTTCCTTTCGCCCCATATCCAACAATCATCAATATGGGGATCTATTGAAGAACCAGTCTCTGGAGTATATTCAATGGAACATTGTTCAACAGTACGGTAACCAGCTAGCAAATCAACAGTTGAGAAACGGTCCTGTATACCAAAAATATTGTTTAAATACATTCATTAAATTTTTTTTCTTCACATTTTGCAGTCATATATTCTTTAAAGCAAATATGATTTTTTAAAGATAAAAAAAGTTTATTTAATCTAAAATGAATTTTCTTAGTTATTAGATTCAATAAATAATTATAACCGTAGGTATGAATTTCCAAAGTTAAAAAGTTTAACCTAAAAAAAATATTTTGCCCGTTTTTAAACATGCCAAGTTTTGAGAAGCTATTTGGGTCAAAAATATTGGTTTTTAATATTTCCTTTATTCTGGAGGAATAATGATACAGTATACGCAATAAAACGCTGTTTACAATAGATATTAAGTTGAGATTTGGGCTAAAAACCAAAACATGACAATCTTCAGTTTTATGAAACTTCCAAAAGCAAATTTGAGAAACTATACTCCTGCACGCTGGGGGATAAGTAAAGAGTACAAAAAACTTATCCTTAACCTAGCTATATTTAAAGCATAATCATAATTTCAATTCGTCTCCGTACAGTTACTGTCCACTGTGCTCTAAAATATTTTGAAATTTAAAGTAGAAAGTTATGGTATTCCTGAATATACTTTGTGGTTTGTGGAAATCCTTTGAACTCTCCAATTTTAACTTTTTTCTTTTTAAAGTTAGTTTTAGGACCATAGTTCTGCTTCCTTCTCCCGGACTGAGATTTATCCCAGGGCAGTGCATCCATGTCTTTCACTAATGCGATCTCCTCCTCCTTTGATATGAATTCTGGGATAACCTGGAGACCACTCAAACCAAGTGTTTCAATCTTTAAATTGTCTCCTCCCAAGTCATAATAATAAATTCTGCATAATATGGTGATGTGATTTAAAACTTAGTCTTAAACACTATTAATTTCTTCCACATACCCCCTCCCCAAAATAAAAAATATCTTCCGTTTCCTGTTTGATGGCTTTTTGGAACAATTTACCTATTTCTATTTAAACGTCTTCTATCAAAAACAGAAACTTTACTGAGGCACTTCCCTCAATTCAACAAACAAAATTTACTCCAGAAATATCTTCCATTCTGTGTATGAAATAATTTAAGTTTTAGTTTATTTCTTATAAAGACTTGTTTATGCATAGCTGAGGCTCGTACTGTAAAGCATATCTGGGAGGCTTGGTCCATATAGTGGAGGCTCATGGGGGCCGGGGGTTTCCTACCTTGTCATTTTAAAGTTCCACTATTTAATCTAGAAAAATTTATCAGAAAAGTAAAGATCCTTTCTAACCATTCGTAGCTTCAATTAGAAAACGTTTATTGTTTTTTTTTCGTATCTTACATAGAATAATAGCCTTAACACACAGCTGAAAATGGACCATCAGGTTTCAAGTCGGAACACCTAAACTTTTTCTTTGGATTGTGTTAGTATGCAGGCTACTGAGTTATATTCTCAATTTTCAGAAAATGCCACCTAGGGAATTTTGAGCAAATTAATTTTTACTAAATTGTAGAAATCATGTTCACAGGTCTTAAATTAAACAAAAATTTCATTTCAAGACTTTAATCTGCTTCTTCTGGGTTTTTTGACGATATTTTTTTAACAGTAAATGGCATGGTCTCCAAATTTTTTTATTTTTCTTTAACAGTCATGAAACTTATTGTAGCAAAAAATCAAACCCCTAAGTCCATTGCTCGACTGTAAAAATGCGACCCGAAAAAGTTTTTTTGATGTAATTTTTACTGATTTTACTTCAAAAAGTCTTTTTTAGGCAGTAATTGGGCAACTATACAGTTCGCTTAAGGCTTTTATTTTTTTGTTGAAACATGTCTTTAACTGTTAAAAAAAAATCACAAAATTTGGGGACCCTGCCATCAACGATTCTAAAAATATCGCAAAAAACACAGAATAATCTTGATTAATCTTTGAACCTACAGTTACGATTGAGTTTATACTTAAATTTCTATAATTTATTATAAATGAATTTAATTAAAATTCCCTAGGTGGCATTTTCTGAAAATTTAGATTATAACTCAGAAGCCTGCATATTAATATATTCCGATAAAAAAATTAAGTGTTTTGACTTGAATCCTGATGGTTCATTTTCAGCGTTGTGTTAAATTCACAATTGTAAATAATCAAATCTACCATCCTGTCTTTATTATCCAGCCAGACAGGTTTAGCACCCACTATACCAAAGTCAGCTTCACAAACAGCACAGCTACGATGCCCTAAAATGTATATCTTAATCTACGAAACTACTATATTTAACTAGTCAGTCAGGAAAAAAAATAAACCTGATAGATGATTTTTATGATGGGATGGGAGAAAATAATTTTACAAACTTTAGGACTTCACTAAAAACCTAATTTATAATTTCTCCCCATAGTTTATGTTACATGAGTAAAGAATAATTAAAATAAACAACTAGAAACTTGAGATTATCTCGAATATTTTGATTACCTTTACATCCACAAGGTCTAGTAGTGTTCATGGTTTTATTAGTTTGAATCTGAAAGTAGTAACATATACAAGAAAATGGTTTAATAGAAAAAAAAACAATGAACATAAGTGACAATGAGCAATTTACAATGTACAATATACATATTTACAAAATATCGTTTATTTCATGTGCATTAAAGTGTTCACTGTACAGCCTGCAAAAAATGTATTTAATTATTACGAGTTCTCGTACTCTGAATGTGGATTTTTGGATTAAGATCTAATATATGATTTGGTAGAGATAACGACAGGGTATCCCAAAAAACATGGGAATTCAGTGACGAATTGGATATCGTATTTGTTATAAATCAGCATTGTAATACCTAATTTCAAAAGCCATAATATTATTATGGCTGCTAGAGTTTATTTTATGAAAGGGTAAATGGCTGTAAAGTATGTCTATAATGTCTCCGCAAGATGAACAGTAAAGACTGACAAGTTTACTCTGTTTGTATACTGCAATTTTCTTGTTTTACTGAGTACAACCGTATGCAGTCAACACATAAACAAACAAAATGTGAACATAGCAGACGAAACTCTTACAGATTACAACTTTCTCAGTAGGTATCAAGAAAGCGGAATGTAAATAGTCTTTGATTAGCTTATTAATTATAAATGACTGATATGAAATATATCTCTAATACATTTTAGATCAGATTGTAAAAGTTCAAAATCACTAAATTTCCTTACTATGATTTTAATTTAAAGCGAGTCATAACAAAAGTACCAATGGTCGATTGAACTAACGTTTAATTGGACTGACTATGACCCTTTTAAAAAAAAGTTGTTTAATTCAATTACTTTTCCAATTTTCTAAAATGATCTCCTATAAAGTTTAAAGCATTTTTTACACACAAAAAAACTTAATTATGTACGTGCACTAATTACTATTGTTTAAATGGACTGAAAACCAGTTTGTGAACAGCTGACTTAAAATCAACTTAATCGGCAATTAATCCAATCAATATTGCATCATTTAAAGACTTTAAAAAATCGACTTTATTCCGCTTTATAATGGATTTGACTGTACAGAGAATATAACCAAAAAGATCAACAAATAAAAAAAAAGTTTAATTGATGGCTTATTAGTAAATGAAAGCATTCTAATAATTAAAAAACATTGAAAAACATTGAAAAACATTGAAAAAATGTTAACATAAGTGTGCCGACTGCTAAATAGTAAATATGTATTGCCGAGAGCAGAACTTCTTATACGACAACCTTCAATCTACCGGTGACCTTGTTTACTACTCTTTCCTCTCCAAACACGCCTAGAACCGCCTTCCCCATACCCTCTCTAGCATCCATCATGTAGGAAGGTAACTGTAGGTTTCTGCCCATTAATTCTAGATCCTACAAGATTTGTTTATTTTGTATTGTTCGAACTGTGCAATGCACGTCGGTGTTTAAAGCATATTTCTTTTAAGTAAAGGTTAGACAAATAAAAATTGAGTAATTAAAGTTCTTGTGAAGACATATTTTAGACACAAACCGGTGTGCCCCCACTTAAAAAATTTCTAGCTACGGGCCTGCAAAATATGCTTGGACTCTGGATAGATTTAAAAACTGGTTCGATTTTCTTCAATACTGGATGAAAACTCATTGAACAAGATGTTCGAGACAAGAATTAAAGAACTTTGATGATTCTATTGCAAGGGAAGAAAATTCCAAACCATGCTTGAGTTCCAAACCTGATCAACGTTTTAGTAACTCTCCTTGTCCTTAGTGCAAATACCAATTAAAGAAACTATTTCCAAAATATTTTTAGCACAACGACAGCTTAAAATAACGCTATTTACTTTTTTCTTAAATTCACTCGAAGCAGGGGCGGAGACAGAATTTAAGTGAGAAGGGGGGCAAGATTTTTTAGGTCCAAAAAATTCATAGTTACGAACAAAAAATCGCTCCGCAGGTGAAATTTTTTTTTTGACTTAAAAGACTCAAAAAGAGTCAAAATTAATGACGGAAGACTAAAAAACTAGATTTTTAACTTTTCACACTGTATAGTTTATTAAGACAGATATTTTTCCTGTTTTGCACTAGGGTTTCTTTCCCTTAAGCATGCTATTGAGAAGCTATTCTGAAAATAGGAACAAATTTAAAGAACTTTGATGATTCTATTGCAAGGGAAGAAAATTCCAAACCATGCTTGAGTTCCAAACCTGATCAACGTTTTAGTAACTCTCCTTGTCCCAATTGCAAATATCAATAAAAGAAACTATTTCCAAAATATGTTAAGCACAACGAGAGCTTAAAATAACGCTATTTACTTCTTTTCTTAAATTAACTCGGAGTGGTGATTCACATTTAATAAAACTCTATACCATTTTCGAAACAATTCAAGGTTTTTAATTTTTGCTCATTTGAATCTAGGACGCGTTTTAGAACATAAATCAACTTACGTAACAATCCATAATTTGAGAATATTCATGAATTTAGAACAAAAAACACTTTTATAATTTACAGAATAGCATGAATCACCGAAAATATTTGTATCTTCTAAATTATTCTAAAATCTGTTTTCACTTTATACTTTTAAATACAGAAAGTTAAGATTATTTCAAGTTTCATCCTTTTTAATATACAATTTCCCGCCTTTTTCTGCAGTTCAATTCAATTTTAAGAAAAATAATAATTTGATATTAGAAATTCATTATATTTTTAAATATCAGAACAAACTATATTTTTTATATTTTCTTTGCTTCAAACTTTGAATTTGCGTTAAAAATGTGACATGTTAAAAAATCAAATCAAAAATAATCAAAAAATAAAAATTTCTTTATTTGTAGAGGTTAACATTTAAAATTTTGTTAAAAAATATAGCCTAAACTATTATAGATTTAAGTAAGCTGAGTGGAGACGGGGTTTAGTTATTCTTAACTTAAATAAAAAAATTATTCCATTAAAATGATATCTTTGCACATCAGTTGACCCAAACTTGAAACTCAGTGTCAGGTCTGGGCCAGATCCCGGCGTGGAACTGCCTTCCCCTGCATTGTGTAAGAAGATACCTTTATGTGCTGTTCAGTGTCAGCCCACAATATGACTGTTTTTTCTCCGAGATCAGACCACATAGCCAACGCCTCTGGCCCAAATTCAACACTCTGTGCCTATATTGACGGAAAAAGGTAAAAGAGGTGAGATAAAAATATAATAAGGGGTCCAATTTTCTCATACCTGTGCATTTATTTTCCTGTAAAGTCCTGCTGTAGCTTTTGAGACCAGAAGTGTCATCACTCCCGGAGTTAAATTCAATGATCGGTTGACAACGAACACCATCTTATAATCCATATCTTCCTCATCTTCATCCTCGTCATCTTCGTCATCATCCTCGTCGTCATCCTCATCATCGACATCTTCCTCGTCCTGTAGTTCCTCAAGATCGTCTGGATCTAAGCTCTCGTCTAGATGGAGGTGATGATGGTGGTGATGAACATGACTGGTGTGTACTCTGCGACATGCCCTACGGATAAGTTAACAGTTTATTGGAGTCAAAAAAGTGTGAAATTAGTGTAGTTTCCTTTAAAACGATTTTTTTCCTTTGAAATTCTCTTTGCAGCATGTTTTAGAATTTTCATCTAAATTAAAAGAGCAGAATACCAAAAATGTGTTAATAGGTAATTTCTTTCAAGGCCTAAAATTTCATTAAGATCGAGTTAACCAATTGTGAGATACTTTTAATAATCCCCAAAACTTTAATGAAATCGATCCAAAATAAATTTTTCAGTCAGCCATAAAGATAACTCATAATTCAAAATGTCCTCCGTTCTTTAGAGACATTTCTCTTGTAATAATCTATTTTTTGATACCCTTACTGAAACAATTTCACTTTAACTCAAAAAATTGCGAATTTACTGTAAACTATTTTCCTGATTTTTCCCATTTTCTTTTGACCCATCTTAGTAAAACTTTATTATTTGATTGAATAATATATCAAATCATTTTAGCTTTTCTAAACTCATGCTTTCTCCGATTTTTTCCCAACCCACGGAGAGTTCCCGCCCCCAAAATATCAAACTGTAAAATTGAAGAAGAAAAAGCATACCACTAAACTTTTTTTTCAAACGCACCAACATTTTTTTTACATTCCAAGTTAAGTCGATCTTTTAATTGATTTCGATGAAGTTTTACTAAACCAGTTAATAGCATGTAACACATGAAACACATTAACCCTTTCTCCATTGGAGGATATATGAAAGAATACAAGGGCCGTAACTGAGGAGGGTAACCGGTCGCTTACCCCCCCCCCCTCTTTAGCAAAGATTTTTAAACATAACCAATTTTTTCAAGGATAACACAGTGATTATTAGGTCAGAAAATGTACTAAAAAAGAACAAGCTAGAACAAAAGAAGATAATTTAAAATTATGACAATTTTCTATACTATTTTCAAATTTCAAAACAAAAAGGTTCATGGATTTCATAAAAAAAAATTTCGTGGATTTTAAAATTTTTTTTTAATTTGATGAAAATCGAATTTTGATTGCGGCAAATTTTTTTTTAATTTTTATCATTCATAAACCTACCCTGGGGCCATGCGAGGTCCCACACAAAATTTTGGGCCCGATCGGTTCAGCCGTTTTGATGCTTATTGGATACAAACAAACAAACGAACACCCACCCATACAGACAGACAAGTATATATATAGATGCAAAGCTGCAGTACATAGGCATCATCAAATTCAAGTATTAAGTAATCACATACAAGATCAGCAAAATCAAGCTAAAATAANGTTCTTTCCGTTTCCCTCAGTGTGCCACACCTACATAAACTCCCAGTTACGGCCCTGAAAGAATAAATTTACTTTATCTTCGTAAAAAATCTGTGTTATGTAGAAACCAACTATAGGGTGATGAAAATATTAATAAATTTATTGCCTCAGCATTTCTTCTCGTTCCCTTTCCTCCCTTTCTCGTTCAGCTTGCTGAGCCCTTATCATTTCCAACTCATCCTCGAGGGGAGTATCAAGGTCCCTCTCCGGTTGATCAAATATCCAGTTGGAGGCTGCAAGAGCCGATTTGTTTCCTAGATCAACATCAAATAATTTCCTATTACTATAAAGCTTGAACCATTTTTTTCATAAAAATAATAAAAAATTCAATTAAAAAAAATTGTCTGATGTCTATTCCTGTCCAATACAGTGCCTTTGTAGCACCATTCCTACAGATACCCATATCCATAATCTGAGATACAAGATCTTCACGTGCTACAAATCTTTCCTAAATAATAATTTGTTTCGATAGAATTTGTGACAATAAAAATTTAAACGGTAAAATAAGAATGGATAATAATCTAATGAAATTATCTCATATATAGACTGTAAGCAATAATCTTTACACATATTTCATCCTCACCTAAGCGAATACAAAACTAAACCTTACCTTAGTATGAACTTTGCATTTTGGGCTCACCAAAGGGGAGTCAGAAGCTAGAACACTAAGTTTGTGATGGCATCTACAAAATAAACAGCTATTACTGGATTATTGTCTGCAAGTTAATCTATATAATAAAGCTCTTAGCTCATATACATGTATATATGTATATATTTGCATAATATAGCCTAAAACATAAAGTGGATAAAATAAAAACTAAAATACTTATTTTTTTATTTATATATGTATATATATGTTAGTGATTAGGGGACCCATGAGTACTGTGGGGCTAAAAAAAAATTCTTCTAAACTGCATGTATATATATTTTAGTTTTACTGTTTAATAAAACAATAACAATAAAGATACCAAAAAAAATAACAACTTCAACATCTAAATCTATATATTTAAAGTTGTAATCTCTGTTTGTCTGTCTGTTTGTTCGTTTGTCCGATCATAACTGGGGAACCCCTGGACTGATTTGCCTCAAATTTTGATTGGGGAACTCAGGAGAGCCACGGGAATGTTTCTAGCTTGTTTAGAGATTCTAAGCTGCATGGTTTGAATTTTATTGAGAAAAAAGGCTAAAACCCTGAACTTAGTTTCCAGACAAAGCTATGCTCCCAAACTAATCAGCAATAAAATCCATACAACCCTAACCATGTGCAAGATTTATTAGTGCCTTGCGGATTCGGACAGAATGGTTAGTTTGAATAAATATGGTTCACAAAAAACCGTTAAGTGTTAACCCCAAAAAAACTCTTGAACACAGGCTACTTATTTGTCCCTTTTCTGACAATAATGCTCAGATTTTATATTATCAAACTTTTCGTGTAGATCAAATCACTAATGTAAGCGAGAAAAAAAAGAATGTCAAAATGAACCAAGAAAGTTAAAATCGTAAGAAATCCATTGAAAAATATTTAAATTTTTATTTTTGGAAGATGTTTGTCAGAGTACCACAAAATAATGTTTTTGTTTTTTAGGATTGACTGTAAACCTAATACCATGCCAAGTGAGCAATTCCCGATTAACAACGGGAACCTTTTAATAAGGTTAGAAGGGGGGAGGGCATAAGTTGTATTACTCTCCGGAAAATTTAAATAGTGGTTAAAAATAACTTAGCATTGTCGTAGGACGCTGATTTTTTGCATGCAAACTCACGGATATGTATTGTAACTCTGCAAAATGCAATTTCAAATAGATCGGAGCAAATGTGTGCGCGAGCACGACTTTTTTACGTTTTTACATTCTTTACACCGTTAAATGAACTTAAAATGGCATAAGAACGCGATTAAACAAGAAGTAGCAAGAAAAACATAAGTAGCATTAGAACGAGTATACCTTGTATGTGGTATATTAAAACGAGTATACCTTGTATGTGGTATATTAAAACGAGTTTACCTTGTATATGGTATATTAGGACGAGTATACCTTGTATATGGTATATTAGGACGAGTATACCTTGTATATGGTGTATTAGGACGAGTATACCTTGTATGTGGTATATTAGGACGAGTATACCTTGTTTGTGGTATATTAGGACGAGTATACCTTGTATATGGTATATTAGGACGAGTATACCTTGTATGTGGTNTTTATTGAACATAAAAATAGTTACATCGAGGTCATGGGGGGGGGGGGCATTCTTTAGAAAGACACTATGATTAAACCTGTAAAGCCGCGTTGCTTGGTTGGTCACCCTTGTCCGCTGTTCGTCTTAGAACATTTACTTCCAGATCCAGTTTGCTGGTCTAAACATTGTTTCACAATTATACTCCGGGGTAGTGCATCGAATCCGGATCCGGATTTGGGCATACTTGATCCGGATCCGCAAACATGTGCGGATCCACGGGGCAAATATTCACCAAGACCTAGTAAGCAGAATGTAAATTTCATTTCAATTTAAAAGGCGAAATGCAAACTGCAATAGAAAAATATAACAATTGCCAAAAATTGAAAAATTGCCCCAGGAAAAGCAAATCCCAGATGTAAGGAAGAAATCCATTTAGAAATAACGTATTGATCAATATTCGATAATTTAGATAATTGTTACAATTACCTTTTTCTCCAAATCATCCAGAAAGGCGGAAAATGTTTTGCAGTCTTTCAGAAATTTATTCACTGGGTCCGACATTTTTAACCAATTTCAAATCTGAAACGATAAAGTTTTCGGGCCCGTCCTAGTTTACAGACATAGTCTACCAAGACTTTGACCGTCCTGCTCTTGTGCGCCGGCTACTCAGATTAGGATCGGGATTAAGGATATCTCATTCTAAAGTTTTCAGAGCTGAAAACTTTAGAATGGGATATCCTTCGGATAGTAACTGTCGGGCCCTGTCAGTGGCTTTGTCGGAGCTGTCCAGGAAATGAATCTTACGCTTCGGCTGTCCGTATATGTTTTTAAAATTTTAAGATGAAAGAAATTTTCTTGTTTTTGATAGTACTTCGGAGCTAAACTTTCGATTTGTAAGTTTTGACGGCAAAATGAAATTATAAATTGTCTAGTATAACGCCAAAACTTGGGTGTTAATTAAAGATAATTATTTATATGGAATATTTTGCAGTTTAAATTTCGAATCATATTTATGAAGATAATTTTTTAAATAAAGAGAAAAAGTATTTGAAATTGTCGGTTGCTAGCTGATTCAGAATCTGGGTTCCTTCAGAAAAGATTGCGGAATTTCAGGTTTTATATTCTTAATATGATTTGCGGCATTTCACATTTCCAGTTTTGTCTGTCGAATAGAGTCGATCAGGATGACTCAGGACTGTGATTTTAAGATCTTGAACCTCTAATCAATCTTTCGGCCAGGGAGATAATCTAGCCTTATAAATCCACGGCCTTGGAGTCTGTCCTATATACTTCGCTGTTGTACCCCCACCAGGGGGTTAACGTAAGCTTTTCGTATGATAAATTGGGGGGGGGGGG